TCTCCACCTGCTGAGGGGTCTGTTCTCAAGGGCCATGGGGCTGGCATGTTGCCACCCTGGGCGCTGGCTGGGCTGCCCAGCAGGATCGGGGCAGAGATCTTCCAGGCCGAGGAGGGCTGGCCAACATGCAGGAGCCCCAGGTGGAGGCTGCCCACCTCGAAGGGGTGTCGTTGGCTAATGGCCGTAAGGCTCCTCTGCTGGCCAAGTGCGATGGGGCCCCAAAGGATTGGCAGGACAGAAGGGCAGGAACACCCAGGTCCTCGGCCCCCGCTCTGTCCCTGCCACGCGCAAGGGACCATCTCTTGTCTGCCTTCCTCCGGTGGCTCGGGCATCGGCTGCCAGCTGGGCAAGAGAGCCTCTGCCCCTCTGAGCCGGCCCTTCTCTTCCTCAGGGCACAGAAGTCTTTCCCCTGCTCAGCACCGTCCTGCATGATGGCACCAAGTTTCAGAGCCCCGAAGGGTTCCACCCGGAGAACTTCCTGGACGAGAATGGGCGCCTGAAGCAGAACGACGCCTTCGTCCCCTTCTCTGCAGGTACAGCCACGTCAAGCCCCCCCCCCCCCCCCCCAGCCGCCCCCCAGCCCCCCGGGCCAGGCTTCTTGGCTGCCCTGCTTTTCCGGCTCCCCTGCCAAGCCAGCCGGGGGGGGGGTGCGCTGCCTCGGCATTTCCTGCAGATGCTGGACCCCCTTTGCCCCTCCCGGCAAGTCAGGAGCCCAGGTGAGAGGCGGAAGGCGGCCCCTCTAGGCACCTGCCTTTGCCAGAGAGTGGTGACCCGCCAGCTTCCAGCCCGGAGGTGGCCTAAGCCTGCCCCTCTCGCCCCCTCTCGCAGGGAAGCGCATCTGCCTAGGGGAAGCCCTGGCCCGCATGGAGCTCTTCCTCTTCTTCACCACCATCCTGCAGCGCTTCCGACTGAAGCCCCTGGTGGACCCCAAGGACATCAACGTGACACCCCAAGAGTTCGGCTTTATCACCATCCCGCCCCTGTTCGAGCTCTCGGTCGTCCCCCGCTGAGAGAAGGGAGCCAGACTTTCGGGGGGGGGGGCTTCAGGGCCCCCTTCTCTGCGACCCTCCCAGGGCTGAGATCTCTGAGGGGCTGCGAGAAGGTGCCCCTGCCAGGTGTCTGCATATATAAAGCTTTGTGGCGATGCAGGTGACCTGGATGGGTGGAGCCTTGGTTTGTTCTAAGCCGTGCGAGCAAGCGTGTATGTGTGTGTGTGTGTGCGCATGTGTTGCTTGTTTCCTGGTCGTTATTGTTTTTTTTTTAATAAAAGTTTTTATTGATTTTAACGACAAACAAAAACACAAAAAACATAAAACATAA